CTGGTAGAGTTAGAGCATAGAGCCCTTTGGGCTATAAAAAATTTCAATTTTGACATGAACTTAGCTGGTTTTAACCGGAAGTTTTAACTTAATGAACTTAAAGAATTGCGCAATGATGCTTATGAAAGTGCTAAAATTTATAAATCCAAAACCTAAGTATTCCATAATCGTCACATATTGCGTAAGACTTTTGAGCCAAGGCAAAAGGTTTGGTTATTTAATTCAAGACTAAAACTTTTTCCTAGAAAACTTCGGTCATGGTGGGATATCCCTTAAATGGTTACTTCTGTTGGGCCCCATGGCACAGTAGAGTTACAAGATCCTAAGAGTGGGGAGTTTTGGAAATTCAAAGGACAGAGGTTGAAACCCTACATAGAGGTTAGTGTGCAGAGAGGTATAATGGATGTCATAGATCATACGGATCCTATCTACTTGGACTAGAGGAGTTATTGCTACGTTGAGCTAGCAACGTTAAACTCAGCATTTGTAGTTTTGTAGTTATAGATTTTTCTCTTTCTTTTTATTCTTTTTATTTTTCTAGGTTTTTAGTTTACTTGTGTATTTTTCTTTTATTTTTAGATTAGGTTAGGTTTATGAAAAAATAAAATAAAATAATAATAAAAATAAAATAATAATAAAAATAAAAATAAAATTCAAAAAAAAGAATTGTCTCAAAAAGCTCGAGCATAATTCCATGTGCTCGAGCATTTTGGCGTATTAAAAAATTAGGCCAAGGCATTTTTGCTCGAGCACAAATCCTTAATCCTTATACCAATGTAGCAATGTCTTCGATCCTTAAGAAACAGGAATGCAAGAAACCAAAATGGGTAGAAGCACCCTCAAACAACGTCTTCGATCCTTCAAGGTTTCTGGCTGGATCGATATGGTGAGATCGATCATGGCTTGGCTCGATTGATCCAAGTAGGAATTTTTCAGCTCAACTTCCTTTTTGCTCCAGTTTCTCACCAAGACTTTGATTGACTTTCCTAAGGCTCTAAAATACTAGAGTTAGCTCATTTCAACCTTATGCACCTGGAAACGAGAAAAACACAAAATAAGACTAAAGCGGGAAAATAAAGATATAATAAGGTTCTAATATACTCAAGATTAGGGTTGAAATGTACATATTTTAGCACTTATCAGTTAACACTATGAGAAAGCTAGGGAAAACATGGGACATGTGGCATAAATCGGACATTCCACATGGAATCTCCAAATTGTTGCTGGAACTTGTGACGTCCTGGTTTTTTTGAAATTTTTTCTTCATTTTTCGAATCTTCGGTTTTTATTCTCTGTGAATCATTTTACAAACTGTGCATCATTTTGTGTGCCACGTGAATTTCATTAATCGTTCGAGACATTTCTTTGAGTTTAGATATCTTGGAAGTGTGTTTGAGTCCATTTTGAACATTTTCGAGTCTTAGACCGAAGGGACGTGTGAGTCTACGGTGACCTAAGTGCAAGGGAATGGCGAGGACTTAAGTGAAAAGTCATTGGAGGGTGTTATTATTATATTTCGATGGATTGTTGCCTTAGGGAAATTTAATGGAAGTTGTTTGGAGGAATGGAGTAATTAGTTATGAAAATTTGGGGTTAAGTGATGTAATTTGTGAAAGTTATTGGGGGTTTTATAAATAGGGGATGTGTGGCAACAAAACCCCATTATTCATCATCTTCTTCCCTCATTTTCTGTCTCTATATCTATACATATATTGACCACCATGTCTAAGCTTTAGCAAGCTTCAATTTTAGGGTTCTAACCTTTGATTTTGAGTGTACCCAAGAAGAAAAGGTTGCTCATCTTTTTTTTCTCTACACAATCATGGTGATAAATTAGAGATTTGACCACCTTGGGATTTTCAAAATTCCTAGGGCTTGGATTTGGAGTGTGGGCTAGTTAGAGAAGTTGTAAAGCATCTCTTGATCTACATAATAATGGGATTTTGGAGGCCATTTGACACACCCCAACCCAATTTACAATATTTAATAAATTGAACAATTGGAATGTATCTAACCATCTGCATTAACCTCATACATATATAACGTCATCATATATCATAGTGTCTGCTTAAAAGTTTACAATTAAAAATAAACTATAAATCCACCTTCCAAGTTCTGAGAAAACTAAACAAGTAACTACAAGTCACAATATTAAATTCTACTACAATATTTACATTTTATATAAAAGACGTTCCATTATTCTTTTCCCCATTCACACCCAAGACTCTAAACCTGGCAGTAGCAATCCACCCCAGTACATGAAAAATTATAGATATGGAAGGAGTGAGCTTAAAGCCCAGTGAATGCAACATTACTACATTAGAGTAATATAAACAAATATTAACTGATAATTTCAATTAAACTTCATTAACATATAACTTCCAACTTTACAAGGCATTAAAATATAGTACTCTCCTTCTAAGCCAGAGTATAGATCTTATATAATATAGTACTCTCCTTCTTGGTCAGAGTATGGACCTTATATAATATATTACTCTCCTTCTAGGTCAGAGTATGGACCTTACATATTATATTACTCTCCTTCCAGGGCAAAGTATGGACCTTATATAATATAGTACTCTCCTTATTGGCCATAATATGGACCTTATCAAGTTATATATATATATATATTCACCTTCATTTCACATAACTAGCTTTAATACTTCAATTAAACACATCTAAGTATAAACTTACAGTGAGTACACTCACCTTAGCTACTTTTCAAAATATTTATTTTTCCTTCAGTACTGTCGATGTAATGACCCAGTCATTTCCTTCCGTTTCTTTTTCCTCAGAATTTCATGGATAAATTTTTTGGGTTGAAATTTCTTATCAGAGTTCAGTTTCTCGTCACTTAGTGTCGTCTCGAGTGCTCAGAAATGGTTGCTGAGTCTCTCTCCTTTGGATTGATAACTTCCTTTAAGGACTGAGTCATTTCCACATTTTTCATTTTTCGACACTATTCACTTTTTTGTCTTTTCCCGTTTATCACTTTGTTGGCACAACCTCGCTTTTCGTGTTTAGTTTTGCTTCCATTTTTGCATGCACTCATGATATATGATTTCTTAGAAATGTGTATTTCTATTTTTTTAGAAAAGCATATTAAGTGTTTACCTTTCTTATAAAGGGTATGGATGCATAACTTTTTTGTAATAGTCTTAACTTGTGAGGTTTTAGTGTAATTATGTAAAATAATTATTTTTCGTCTTAGGGTCATTTTGCAATTTCATTTGGAAGATATTTTCAAAAATGACCTTTTTACAATTTTTGAAAAGTGTGACAAGTGTCATATTATCATTGGTCCACTTGTTGGCATTTGTGTGGGGACACTTTGATGCCTTGGATGATGACATGTGGAGGGTGGAGATTGAACTACTTGTTGACCTAAGATAGGTTCACTTGTTGGCTTGGATGGTTGACGAGTGTAGGCTTAGAATTAAGCCCACAATGGATGCTTGGATGAGTGATAAGTGTATGCTCCAAATTAAGTCTTGCAATTATTTTTAGGCCACTTTGGGATTATGGTTTTAAAGAGGGATTTTTGTGCAATTGACCAAGACTTGTGTATATTGACTATGGTGTAAGATCACATAGTGAGTGGAGGATTTCTAATTCCTCCACTCACACTTCATCTCATTGTTTCATTTCCTCCCTCACCAAAAACCCTAGCCACCATTAGAGGAGCTTGATGTTTAAGCTTTGACCTTAATTTTTGAGGCCCTTCCACTCACCTTTGACCATTAAGCTTGGAACACTTTTTGTTCCTCTCATCCTCCTCTACATAACCCTTGAAGGGTTTGCCATTTTGTGTTGATTTGCCTTGTATTCAAGGGGAATGTGACAACCCGGATTTTTTAAGAATTGAATTTATATTTTATTCTATGAATTTTAGTTGTCAAGATTGACTCTTTAATTTTAAATTTGAGATTTACCAATTGATATTTTAATTGGTTTTGATTTTTGGACGAAATTGGTGAAAGGAGATTTAATGGTTTTAATTTTTGTTGCACATACAATTTTGTTGAAGATTAATTAGTTGATTAAATTTTTTTTACATTATATATATAATGTCTGATGGATTTATGATGAAAAAGGGGCTGCCGAAATGGAATTTATGACAGAAAGAAAAATGGGATTTGATAAATTTTGGTGGGGCCCATTAAAGAGATATTTATTAAGTTAGTTTGATTTAGTTTTGTATTTGGTTCGTGAGCTAATGATTCTAGGAAGTAAATGGAGCCAGCCAAATGAGGAATAAAGAAAAGAAAGGAAAATTGGTGGTGGCGGGTCCCACAGGTGTGTAATGGGTTTGATTTTTTGTTATCTTATATATTATATAAGATATATATGTATATATAATTTCTGTTGGATGATATCATGCAGCTGAAATGTAATGAGATTGAAATGGTAATGGAATTGGTGCGGTTCCCACATGAGATTTATGAAGTAAATTGGTTTTGGTTTTGTGCATGTATGTATTATATATATATATATATATATATATATATATATATTGCATCAGTGGGATAAGAGAAGGCAGGCAGCGAAATAGGAGAGGAAAGAAGGAAAATTGAAATTGGCGAAGTGTGTTTGGTGGGTCCCATTAAATGGTATTAATGGGTTGTTTTTTTATTTTGGTTCCATTTTGTATATATATATATATATATATACTGCTGATGGGGTGATGGGTGAATTGCAAAATGGTGATAAGATGGAATGGAAGCTTCCATTAGAGACAAGAGAAAATGGGAAATGGAAAGGTTGTTTTGGCGGGACTCACAAGGACTTTGTTTGCCATAATTATTTGTGCTTCGGTTTTAAGCACATGGGCTTGTCTGATGTTTGTGTGTGGAATGAAAAGATATGTCAGATGAAGGAAGATAAGGTGGTAGCGGGGTCCACTTGTTATGATTATGTTTGATATTTGATTTTGATAATTGTGTTTAGAACAGCTATTATGAGAATTGGGTCCGTAGAAATTGTCTATTTATATGGGCATCTGTTTGGTGAAGAAGAGATAGAAAAATTGAGGAAAAATAATACAGAGAGTGTTTTGAGGACAGAGATGCCGAGATGGATGAGACTTGGTGCTCAGATGAATAATTTTTGTTTTCAAGTGTAGGGTTCTTTTTACCTTGAATTGCCTGGATGATTTTATCTCAAATATTTTGTGATTGCCCTTTTACTTCAAATTGCATTTATGTATTTTGTTTAAAATCATATGTATTATTCTTTTAAGCTAATTTTCATGAAACCCCTTGAGATTTCTGTTATCGTTTTTCCTACTGGGACTTCCTTCGTCTCATCCCCTTCCAGTTTCAGGTACCGAGGATGAACGTGAATTCATAGTTGTGGGCTTAGGTGGAAGAGTTGGTGTTGAGGATTATTTAATTTGTTTTAGAGATGTTGTATTTTAATTTATTTAAAATATTTTGATTTGAATAAATCGAAGAATTTATTTAGAAAAAATTCGGGGCGTGATAGGGAACAATCCTCTTGTGAGGTAGGGGGTGTTATAGTTTATTTTCCAAGTCATTTTGATTGCTTTTGTAATGAAATACAAGTGATATGCATGTTTTAATGTTAATTTGATAAATTAATGATTGTTGTAACTTGCATATAATTTTTGACTTGGTATGTGGCATGGCCTTCTGATAAGCGCCGAATACTGTATATTCAAGCGCCCTAAATTACATTAACAAAGTCCATTAATTGATTATTTTATGTAGATTATCTCTATTTGCATGTTTTTGTACATTTTCAGGTTAAATTGCAAAAAGGAAGCAAAAATGATGCCTTGTGGAATTTTGAACAAAAAGGGTGCCAATTCTGAAATTCTGGTAGCAGTAGAACCTGACTTTTGTCACCATTTTTGACCTAGGAAACTCAAGAACTGGACTTCCATCATAACATCAAAGATTTAGAGCTCTGAATCATCTTTCCAAATCTTCAAGCGGTTTGTCATTCGGAGTTCGGAGTAGAGAGTTATGATTTTCTTATCAGAGGTGCTCAGAACTGCCTGGCAGCAATGAATTTCTGCCTTGCTCTTCAATTTCGACCTACCAGACTTGATAATTGGATCTTCACCAATGCATAAAGTTTTTAGATCTCTGAATTAGCTTTCCAAATATTCAAATGGTTCATCATTCAGAGTTCATAGCGCAAAGTTATGGCTATTTTACCAAAGCAGGTCCGGGCGAATCAATGCAAGCATAGAGCAATCTGCTCCATTTTCGAGTGCTCGAGGCCTTATTTCGAGCACTCGAAATTGGGGCAGAATTGCCTTTGGGAATCCTCATTTTGGCAGCCACTTTTGCATTGGTTTCCTCATTTCTACTTACTTCTTTATGAGGTGGTTGGGGATATTTTTGGAGGAGAGAGAGAGCTTTGTTAGAGGAGATAAGGCAAGGGAGGCCACACATTTACATTAACCTTCATTTTTACAAGATAGAGGAGAGAGGATAGAGCAAAGGAAGGAGAGTTCTTGGAGCAAGAGAGGGGAGCTCGAAAATGGAAAGAGGATCCATGGTTCTTCTTCATTCTAAGGCTCCCATGTGTAACTAACTCCTCCTCTAAGGAGGTAATGGAACCCCTCATTGTAAGCATGCTTTACTTTTGATTCTAGTTTGGGAAAAATAATGTATTTTTGTGGTGATTCCATAATCTAGAACTCTTACTTGATGTAATGAATTGATTTTGATTTAATGATCATGTTGGACCTACTTTCTTGTCTTAGAATGTATGTTTTCATGGTTGTATGGTTTACATTTTCATGGTGACAATGAAGATGAGATTTTTGGAATGGTTTTAATGGCATGTTGTTGAGAGATTTGATAGGCCATAGCTTAGGTTCTTCCTTTGATGGCTTATTCTTAATTCTTAGCTTCATGTGCTCTTATCATGTGATTAATGGTTTGACAATTTCTAGCTTAGTGAACATGTCTTAAATTACACTTTAGTTTAGGTAATTGAGCATGTAAAATCTTTGATAAATTGTTCTTGCCTATTGATTCCATGAATCCTTTGAAGGTAATGTAGTAACCATGAGTAACTACTTATCATAGCCACATATTTATGTTGTTTTTCCCCGAATGAATCATATTCTAGCATGTTTATATTGTAGGTGGTGAAGTTACTTCCCTAATCTCTTTTACCGACATTTTATCTCTTTTAAATTCTTGTAAGTTCTATTTTATGCATCTTAATTTCATAGCTTTAGTGACAAACCAAGCAAACACCCTATTCCCCCTTATCATTCTAAAACGATTCTAGACGCTTAGGTTGCCTTAAACTAGCGTAGTCCCAGTGGTTCAACTTACCCGACCAATAGCCCTATTTTACAATGATTCGTGCTATTGCGAAGAGGGTTGATTTATAATTGATTTCGACCGTCAATCAATTTTTGGCGCTGTTACCGGGGACTTGCAAACGGTTTAGCAACCAAAGTTTAGGTTTAAATTTAGTTTCATTGTGCATATTGTGTTTTGTGCATATTTTTCGTGTGGTTTAACCATTTTCGTGTTGTAAGATTCTAGGGACTCGAATCTCGCTGTGGGAACGCTAGCAAAGCGTAAGTCTAGAGGACCCCAGGTAAGTTTCTTGACCTTTTAGTTTCACATTGTAAGATATCGTGCATGTGTTAAGTTTAGAAGTAGTTAATTTATTTGCAAGCCCTTGTTGAGGCTATATTATTGTTTTAATTCTGTGTATAAGCATCGGTCCTTGTCATGGCCATTTATTTTCTGTCTTGATAATTGAGGAGAAAGGGAACATCGTATGTGGAGTTGTGGATAATGAATTGCTTTGTTGATTATATGCTGTGCTGTTGATGTTCGGTCGTAGGTCACTCTCTCTACCCACAATCGATTCGCCCATTGATATCAATTCTCTTGAAAGAACTCTTAGAAGAAACCTTAGGGAATCTACTCTTACAAGGGATCTTGAAACTGAATTTAATACAATGGGAGATAACGTAGGAAATCCGGGGAATGAAAGGGCTGAAATTCCTAATGTAGAACCAATGACTCTTAGAGATCATTTCATCCCTACCACCTATGCTTCTCCTTCTTGCATAGTAATGCCAAACATCGATGCAGCTCAATATGAGATCAAATCAAGCACCATCCAAATGCTTCCATCATTTCATGGCTTTGATAATAAAGATCCATATAAGCATCTTGATGAGTTCCTTGAAATCTGTTCGACCATCCGGTTGAGAGGTTTTCCGGACAATGCACTCCATCTCCATATTTTCCCATTCTCCCTAAAGGATAGGGCAAAATATTGGTTGAACTCCCTCGCTCCCAATTCCATTACTTTTTGGGCTCAATTGCAACAAGAATTCCTTAAGAAGTATTATCCAGTGAGTAAAACCAACCAAATGAGGCGTTCCGTTCTAAGCTTTTCTCAAATTGATGGAGAACAACTCCATGAGACTTGGGAAAGGCTACAAGATCTTCTTCGAAAATGTCCTCATCATTTGATCCCAAAATGGCAATTAGTGCAAGCTTTCTATGCCGGCTTGACCGAAACCCATAGATTCATGGTTAATTCTTCTTGTGGTGGGATGTTCATGTCCAAGAATGCGGATGAGGCTTGGACCCTTCTTGAGAATTTAAGCGAAAATTCACTTCAACATAATTCTTGTAGGGCTCCGACCTCAATCATTGCAAAGAACACCAACCCTTGTCAACCAAAATCAATAAGGGAGGAATCATCTCAAGTGGATGCCATCGCTCATAAATTCTACCAATTGATGGCACCACATCTTCCTCCTTCATTGTCTCAAAATTCGGCAAGTTCAGTTTGTGCTTCATGTACTAGTCCTTTCCATCTCTCAGAAGATTGCCCCACACCAGAGCAATTTCCCAATCCCAACCAAGAGCAAGCTAATGCCATGTTCTCAAGGCCCGGGCATAACCCGTATTCCAATACATATAATCCGGGTTGGAGGGACCATGAATTTTTCGTGGAGGCAACAAGCCCTACAAAATTCCCAATTTCAAAATCAGCCCTCTTCTCAATATCAAAGTAGGCCTTTCCAAGCCTCTTCAAGCTACCGTCCTCCTTACAATCCAAATGTTTCCAATCAACCTCCTGTGTGTCCAACTGACGAGATAGTAGCTGCAAACAAGCAAATGATGGAATCATTGAACAAGCAAATTATGGATTCCAACAAGCAACTCTTGACATCCTTGCAGCCTACTCTCCAAATGGTTCACTCTCATACTCAATCCATAGCTAATCTCGAAAATCAAGTGGGCCAAATAGCTAACTCGGTGAATTAATTGCTTCAAAAGGAAAAGGGCAAGCTTCCCTCTCAACCTTTTGAAAATCCTAGAGGAATGCATGTGATTGATGAAACCCCTCCTCCGAGTGGGCCGACTCATGAACAAGTTCAAGCTATCACCACCCTTCGGAGTGGTAGAGTGGTTGACAACAAGGTTGATGGAGACATAAGTGAGAAAAACTCTCCTTTGAAAAATCCAAATTCAAGCTCTTCTAATCCAAATCCAAGCTCTTCTAATCCAAATTCTAATCCAAATACCATTCACGGAAATCCCACACATGTCACCCCAAATGTGGAAACTACTTATGAGCCAAAAGCTCCGTTTCCTCAACGTCTTCAAGAGTGGACACATTTTGGGAACAAGAATTGTAAAATTCAAGACATGTGGGAAGTTTTCAAGCAAGTGAAGATTAACTTGCCCCTCTTGGATGCTATCAAGCAAATCCCTCCCTATGCAAAATTTCTCAAAGATTTGTGCACTCAAAAGCGCACTTCTAAAAATCATTTGCCAAAAAAGGTGAGGTTGACTGAAAATGTTAGTGCTATCATTCAGCACAGCACTCCTCCGAAGTATAAGGATTCGGGTGCCCCCACAATCTCTTGCGTCATTGGTGACAGGAAAATCGAGAGGGCCTTCCTTGACTTAGGAGCTAGTGTGAATTTAATTCCATATTCAGTCTACCTATAACTTGGTTTGGGAGATCTTAAGCCAACTTCCGTGGTTTTGCAACTTGCCGATAGATCGGTCAAGCATCCACGAGGTATTCTCGAGGACATTATCATCAAAGTGGACAAATTCTACTTCCCGGTAGATTTTGTGGTTCTTGATACGTGGGTATTACAATACGGAACCGGTCCATAACCCAAAAAAGCACATTCCCGTGATCCTTGGTAGGCCATTTTTAGCCACGGCTAATGCATCAATTAATTGCCGAACCGGGGTGATGGACATTGCTTTTGGAAACATGCAAGTCAAGCTCTACATCTTTCATGCAACTCAATATCCCTCCAATGAGGATGATTGTTTTCTTGTGGATGTCATTGATGAAGTGGTCGAAGAATCTCTCCCCTTCATTCTAAGCAAAGATCCTCTTGAAACTTACATGTCCCATTTTGACTTCTCAAACTTTGATGTTGATTAAGCCATTCAAGAAGTCAATTCCTTGTTTGATATTAATGCTATCATGGATGTACCTCCTTGGAAAATTCCAAAAGAACCACTTCCCCAACTTTCCACTACTCCTCCGGTCCCATCATTGCTATCTCCACCACAACTTGAGCTTAAGCCGCTCCCGGCCCATCTCAAGTATGTGTTCCTTGGTCCAAAGCAAACCCTTCCGGTCATCATTGCCTCGGACCTTCAAAAAGACCAAGAGACCAACCTTTTAGCGGTGCTCCAAGAGCATAAAGAAGCTATTGGTTGGACAGTGGCAGATTTGAAAAGAATTGACCCCTCTATTTGTATGCACCGCATTCATATGGAGGATGACGCAAAGCCTACTAGAGAGGTCCAGCGCCGGTTAAATCCAAATATGAAGGAAGTGGTCATGAAAGAGGTGATCAAATTGCTAGATGCGGGAATCATCTATCCTATCTCTGATGGTTATTCCAGCTATAACCAAGTAGCAATCGCCCCCCAAGATCAAGAGAAAACAACATTGACATGTCCCTTTGGTACGTTTGCCTATCGACGCATGCCTTTTGGGCTTTGCAATACGCCGGCAACGTTCCAAAGGTGTATGATGTCTATATTCTCGAATATAGTTGAAAAGTTCTTGGAAGTTTTCATGGACGATTTTTCCGTATTTGGCTCCTCCTTTGACTCGTGTCTCAAAAATTTGTCTCTGGTGCTCCAAAGATGCAAAGAGACGAATCTCATTCTAAGTTGGGAGAAAAGCCACTTCATGGTCCAAGAAGGCATTGTTTTAGGACATGTCATTTCTAAACGGGGAATCGACGTAGACAAGGCAAAAGTTGAGTTGATCTCTAATCTTCCTCCTCCGAATTCCATCCGTCAAATCCGTTCTTTTCTTGGCCATGCAGGATTCTATCGTCGCTTCATCAAAGATTTTAGCAAAATCTCACGGGCCTTGTGTAATCTCTTAGCCAAGAATGTTCCATTCAATTTTGATGACGCTTGTATGGAAGCTTTCATTAAACTTCGCACTCTTCTCTCATCCGCCCCAATCATGGAACCGCCTAATTGGTCTCTTCCCTTTGAGATCATGTGTGATGCATCCGACTATGCATTAGGGGCGGTTTTGGGCCAACGTGTGGATAAACTTCCGCATGTCATTTATTATGCCAGCAAGACTCTCTGCGATGCCCAATTGAACTACACCACCACTGAAAAAGAATTGCTAGCTGTGGTGTACGCCTTGGATAAATTTCGCTCCTATCTCCTAGGTTCCAAGGTCATCGTCTTCTCGGATC